ATCTCAAAAAAAAAAAAAAAGGTGGAAAGTAACAGAGGAAAACACGTGGGCATCCTCCTCTGGCCTCCTCATGCACATGCATGAGTGCATGTGCCCCCATTACAAAATTGCACATATACAATTAGATATAAAAAGATAAATAATTAAAAATAAGTAAACAGGGCCCGGCATGGTGGCACACACCTTTAATCCCAGCACTCGGGAGGGAGGCAGAGGCAGGCGGTACTCTTTGAGTTTGAGGCCAGCCTGGTCTCCACAGAGAATCCAGGCCAGCTGTAGTTACAGGGAGACCCTGTCTCAAAAAGACCAAAAAGAAAAAATAAATAAGTAAACAAAGTGCTGTTTGCTGAAAAATAAAAATAATAAAAAAGTCATTCCCCCCAACCAACCTTTTGGCTAACCTGCACAAAATAATTCTACAAAGGGAAGACTATGTAACCTAAAGGTTAAAGCCAGCTATTGGGAAGCCTTAGGCAAATTACTTATTTGCATATTTCTCTGAATGTAAAATGTGAAAATTACTTACCACTACTTCTTACTCAATGTGTAGCTACAACAAGACCACAAATGCGAACCACAAGAGAAACAGCAACAAAAGTTTAAGGCTGTGAAGACTGACTATGTGCCAGGTGTAGTAGCTCTTGCCTCTGATTCCAGCACTTGGGAGGTAGAGGCAGGACTGCTGAGCTTCAGGCCAGCCTAGGCTACAGGGTGAAAAAAAAAACCCAAAAAATAGGGGCCAATATGATGGCTCAGAGGGGAAAAGTACATGCCGCCAACACTGACGACCTGAATTTGATTCCCAGAACCCAGACGGTGGAAAGAGAGAACTGCCTCCTACAAGTTGTCCTCTGACCTCCACATTTGTGCCATGGCATGCACACATGTAGTCCCCACACATAAATAACTAGAGGGTAAATATACAACGCTAAGAACAGATTGGAGATGGCTCTCCTTGTTGGCTATATATATCAGGCAAGTTACTGGACCTTCCCATGCTTCAATTTCCTCATCTGCAGACTGGGAATAATAGTAATACTCAACTCATAGGGTTATATGATATCAAATAACTTCACAGTTTCGCATGGTGGCACATACAGGTAGTGCCAGCACTCAAGAGGTTAAGGAAGAAGATTGAGGGTTTCGGCCAGCCTGGGTTTCATATATATGAAGGACTTAAAATGGTACCTGTTAACAGTAACTTAATAAATGATGTATTAGCTATTATCATTAATAATAATGTTTAAACTGTCTTATGAATAAAATGTCTGAATCTCTAGAAAGTGAAGAACAGTAACAAATAATGCAAAGAGACTGAGCGAGACTGCTGGTCTACCATTAAAAGGCCCAAATTTGAGAACTTAGGTCAAAGAAATACAATCTAAAAAACAGAAGGGGATCCATGGCTGGCAGAGAAACCTTGCTGAAATTAATTTTCAAAATAGAGGGGGTTTATGAGTTTGGCACTGTGGCAGATGCACGAAATACCAGCATTTGATAGACAGATGCAAGAGAATCACAAGTTTGAAGCCAGTCTGGCCTACATAGTGAGTTCTAAGTCAATCTAGGCTACAGAGTTAGTCCCTGTCTGAAACCAACCAACCAACCAACCAACCAACCAACCAACCAACCAGAATGAGAACAAATTATACTCATGTGCAACCCTGTGGTCTGTGCAACCACAGACTCAGGCACAGGCGTTCATAATGCCTCTCACCTGCCTGGTCACAGGACAACAGCTAGAGGGATGATACACCCAGAATTTTAGAGGCCTGAGAAACTTGGGCAAAGAGTAGCCTACAAATTTAAGAGAGATTTTCACAAATGAAAGGCAAGCACTACACATCTGCATTGAGATCTCACAACATCACAAGATCTGAGTGCCATGTTATGAGTCCTTTGCATCTCTCTCCTGGAACCAGTAATGGCTTATTTCATAGAAGGTACCACTTACAGATTCCAGAACTTCCCTATATTTTTTCCTTGGACATTGCTTCACCTGTCATACCCTTCCTGGGCCCATTCTGAAAGCCTCTGGTATACTTGGAATGCAATTAATTATCCCTCTGTTGTATCCCATGCCTCTATAATGGACCATGAAGCCAATTTTATTGGCTTAATTCCATGAATCAGTGCAAGTCTTTGGTGACACAAAGAAAAGAGCTTGGTAGCATCAGCTCATACTCTTTCCAGTAGTTAGAAGTGAGGAAACCTAGAAGGAATGTTGTTAATGCTCAGTAATACTGAGCATAATAGTATGGAATAGGAAAAACATTGATCTAAACTGTATACCATCATTCATTGGAGACATTTACACTCTGACTAAACAGTGCCACTCATTCTTTACTGATATGGGACACAAACAGCAAGCAAGACTCCAAGGACTTGCCTAAGACGTCACAGTGACTCAGAAGCAAGCATATGGCTGAATCAGTGCTCAGATTCCCACCAATCTGTGCTGCTCTCTGTGTGCCAGGTTTGAGTAAAAGCTCCTTTCTGTTCCTTCCTGAGTCTTCTTGGGCTCCTAGACCCCTTCTCTGGATATTCTGAGAAACTCCTCAAAGGCAACACGTGCCAGACATGGGTCATGTTGCCAAAGAAGCTACCATAAGAGTTCAAAGCCATAAACAAAGCACTGCTGTGGTTTCACCAGAAGGCATTCCTCTGACCTCCAGTGCTTCTGAAATGCTATCAACATCAACAACAACAGGACAGGGCTGGGGAGATGGTCCAGTTGGTAAAGTACTTAACCTGAACCCACATAAAGGAAAAGCTGGGAGTAATGGTACAAGCTTGTAATCTCAGTGCTGGAGCAATGGAGTCTGGCAGATCCCTAGGGCTGGCTGACTGGCCTTGCTACTTTCAAGATCCAGGCAACTGAGAGAGACCTTGCCTCAAAAAAAAAAAAAAAGTCGCCAGCACCCAAGGAATGACACCTGAGGTTGTCCTCTGCCCTCCACGTGCACATTCAATATCTGCAGTTTTAACTGAAATTCCAAGGTCATTATACCATTTATACTATTTTCTTCCTTCTAAGGAGGCAAGTAAGGGTCACTTAATTACCTCAGTGCAGGCTTACCTCAGCCAAAGATCACACAGGCCAAGGGACTGCACAGTCCTAAGTACTCTCACTATTATCACGTCCTATTCTCAGTGATCAAAACCTGATCATGGGTAAGTGCAACAACTTAACCACTAGATTTTCTTTGTGTGATGCCTGAATCCAATCCAGAGCCCCAGGCACGCTCTACCACTGAACTACATTACCAGTCCAGCCACTAAGTTCTGAATCCCTTGAGGCAGGAGCTATGTTTTATTCACCCTTATATTCCCAGCATCTGACACAATGTTGTCACATATTTGTACTCAGTAAGCATTTGATAAATGTTACCATGTAAAACGTCTGAGTCATCTTCAACAAAATCGATGTCTCTTAAGTCCCATTCTGCATAATTATCAAACTCCTGTTAGGAGAAAAGAAAAAAAAAGACAACAAACCCATCAGTTTTGAATACATCTTTACAGTAGCCACACTGTAGAAATAAAGAGAAAACACATGAATTGACACTTATTAAAAAATGCTAAATTTGCCGGGTGTGGTGGCGCACACCTTTAATCCCAGCACTCGGGAGGCAGAGTCAGGTGGATCTCTGTGAGTTCAAGGCCAGCCTGGTCTACACAGTGAGTTTCAGGCCAGCTGGGGCTACAGGGAGACCCTATCTCAAAAAGAC